TATATATATATATATATATATATATATATATATATATATATATGTCGTACCTAGTAGCCAGAACTCACTTCTCAGCCTACTATTCAAGGCCCGATTTGCCTAATAAGCCAAGTTTTCCTGAATTAATATATTTACTATAATTTTTTTCTTATGAAATGATAAAGCAACCATTTTCTCTATGTATGAGGTCAATTTTTTTTTATTGAAGTTAAAATTAACGTAGATATGTGCCCGAACCTAACCAACCCTACCTAACCTAACCTAACCTATATTTATAGGTAAGGTTAGGTTAGGTAGCCAAAAAAAGCTAGGTTAGGTTAGGTTAGGTAGACGAAAAAACATTAATTCATGAAAACTTGGCTTATTAGGCAAATCGGGCCTTGAATAGTAGGCTGAGAAGTGCGTTCTGGCTATTAGGTACGACATATATATATATATATATATATATATATATATATATATATATATATATACTATATAGGTGTCACGTCTGTGACGGTAACAAAAACATGCTTTTTCTGAAAAACAGTTTTTCATGTGTTTTTCAAGTGCGGGAAATCTTCAAAACCTCTTTACCGATTGCTTTGAAACTGTGACACAACGTTGCATTCGAATAAGCTCATCTTTTTATACATCTGCTATATACATGCATCAACTGTGAGAGGAAAAAACATTGTTTTTTAAACAGCGCCATCTGTTGGACACAAGAGCAACACTTGCTGTAATCTCCAAAAGTTTTTCACAGAATGCTTTGAAATTTTGACACAACGTTGCCTTCGAATAGGCGCATCTGTTTATATACCTACTATATAGATGCCACCCCTGTGATAGGCAAAAAAAATGCGTTTTATAAAAACAAAGTCATCTGTTGCACATAATAGCAACATGCACACTATACTAAATATGTCATGAATTCCAGTTTAATGCTTCCGATTGCATTGATAATTTTTTTTTAAAGATTTCGATTTATTTTATTTTTTATTGAATTATTGTGTGTGACATTGTGTTGGAATTTGGTTCTGTTGTTTACCATACCGTTCATTTCATAAGTATAAGTATAGATGCCACACCTGTGATAGGTAAAACTATGCTTCTCTTGAAAAATAGCGCCATCTGTTGCATGCAAGAGCAATACACATGCTATAATAAATATGTTACAATTCCATTTCAATGTTTCTGATTGCATTGATAAATTTAATCTTCATAGATTATAATTTATTTTCATTTTGATTTAATTATTTTGTGTGAATTGCATTGGAATTGAGCTGTGTTGTTTACCATACCGTTCATATTTTGAGTATAGTTTATTTTTTTTATTTGTTCATATTTTCATTTCATTTTTTAACTGTTTTTCTTATATTTTAGTGATGGGAACATCAGATCACTTGATGATACAAATTTTCTGATATGAACATCAGACCATTTGGGAAGACATCAGACGAGGGAGTGGAGGATGACGAGGGGATGGAAGTGAGGGATGGTAAGGAGGACGAGGGGACAAGGGAGGGGGTAATGGTTGGGAAGGATGAGGGGACGGGGGAGTTTGGGATGGTGGGGGATGAGGGGATAGAGAAATGGAGAATGTTTGGGATGACAAAGGGACAGGGGAGTGTGGCATGGTGGGAAGGAAGAGGGGATGGTGGAGTGGGAAATGGTGGGGAGGAGGAGGGGACGGTGGAGTGGGGAATGGTTGGGAGGCCGAGAAGACGGGTGAGGGGGAATGGTGGGGACGACTGAGGGACAGGGAAGGTTGCTGTGGCTCAGAAACGCGCATGCGTTGCTGAGTCACAGCAACGTGTGGCCGGGTATTGCTAGTTAAAAATGAAATTGTAACAACACTGAACACTGCTTGGCTCCTTCACAAGCAAAAATAATGACACTTACCTCAATCGTTAAGCGTGTTGACACTGGTGGAGTAGGAGGATCACATAGGGCAGTACTTGCTGGCACGGTAATACTTGGCACAATAATTCCTAGGTCACACTTTTACCTAGGATAGCAAGTTTTAATTAATACACGTTATAAAATACAATACCACAAATTAATAATTAATTATTATATGTAATGTGGGAACAATTCTCCTGCACTTAGGCCCCGAAATCTTGTTATCCAGGCTTAGTCTTGACACAGCTCGTAACGACAGTAATATTATCTATACCAGTATGTCCGTAGCTGGAACATATTAAATTTAAAATAAAGTCACAAGACTTGGTTGAATGAAAGACATGCATAATATAAACTATAATAATATTTATACATATAATATGACAATCACTCCTACTTTAACTGAACACTAATGACATAAAGTTATACACATGAGATGGCTATAATTAAATAAGTCTCCACAAATAAACTTTCATTCCCTAACTGTACAGTTAGATACAAGTACTTAACTTGAGATGTTTACCAAATGGATGCCCAGACGCTACTAACTGAAGCACTCCCTCGCTTCACACAAAAACCTCCCTCCTTCTCCATAGGGAATGGCAAACGAGTAAATTCACAATAACACTTATTTAATGACACAAATAATAGTTCTCAAATATACATCAAATAATGCATAATATATACTGATAAGTGTAAACAATATCAACAAAGTACAATATGCTTTAATAAGGGGTAACTCAAGTATTTATTATTAATATGAGACGACAACTGGCAATACACAGTTGATCATGTAGATTTATGCTGGTCCAAAAACTGACCGATAATAGACAGGTCTGAATCAGGTGAACTCCAGCAAGTCCGCTCCTTCCCCAATTATGTTGCCATGTCCTATATAATATGACTTGAATGTGAGAATCCATATCTGACATGGATACGTAACAGCCCTCTCAGCAGGCCTTCTCATCAATGGAGCCAGGTCCTCTCAGTAGGCTTGTTGGCCACTGCAAACCTGGTCACAGAGTCAACCAACCATTTAAACTCAAGTGTTTGGCTCCTAATAATTAAACATACAATAAAGTAAGGGACAGCGAGAGTGATGACGCCGCCTCTCACTTTTCCTCTCACCACATCTCTCAGTACGTGGATGTTACGAGCAGAGTAAAATTCCCGGATTTTTTTAATAACGTTTTAATTTTCTCTTCATTTTCCGCTTTACCCATGTTTTTCCTTTCATTAATTACTTCTCCTTTTCTCCTCTCTTTCCCATTCCTGACCTTCCTCCTAATTCCCAACCTTCCTTCCTAATTGGATAAAAATCCACTCCCTTCACATCAATTTTGCATTTCTCATCTTTTTTTCCCTCCAATCCCAACAATTTCCTCTTCCATTTCTAGCTCTGTCCCCTATATATTCCTTTCCCATACCCATCCCATTCCTTCCCTTCCGTTCCCTCCCCTAGAGGCTGGATAGAAAAACACGACTGTGCATATTTTCTGATAAATTTGGATCACTGAACGAAACGGAAGATTGTATCATAGTCAAATAATATTTCAAGTACGTTTTCTTCAATTAAAAATTGAAATAAAAATGTATTTCAGGTTATTTCTGTTTTACGAGTTCTTCTGTGTTGCTTTCCGGCCGTCACCAGCAGACTACTGGGAAACCATACACAGTGGGGTCACCAGCAGACTACTGGGAAACCATACACAGTGGGGTCACCAGCAGACTACTGGGAAACCATACACAGTGGGGTCACCAGCAGACTACTGGGAAACCATACACAGTGGGGTCACCAGCAGACTACTGGGAAACCATACACAGTGGGGTCACCAGCAGACTACTGGGAAACCATACACAGTGGGGTCACCAGGAGACTACTGGGAAACCATACACAGTGGGGTCACCAGCAGACTACTGGGTAGCCATACACAGTGGGGTCACCAGGAGACTACTGGGAAACCATACACAATGGGGTCACCAGGAGACTACTGGGAAACCATACACAATGGGGTCACCAGGAGACTACTGGGAAACCATACACAGTGGGGTCACCAGCAGACTACTGGGAAACCATACACAGTGGGGTCACCAGCAGACTGCTGGGAAACCATACACAGTGGGGTCACCAGCAGACTACTGGGTAGCCATACACAGTGGGGTCACCAGCAGACTAGCAGGTGTTACGGCCCTCTCGGGACGCAATGGGGTTCTTACTCTGATGTTATTAGAGGAAGTAGTATCCGGCCCCAAGCCAGCAGTGGCTTTCGAGGAATGAGATCCGTGACGCAATAAACTTAAAGGGGGGAAGGGAAAGAAAGTTAAGAACTTAAGACTATAATTGTTACCATCACCAAATAAATAATATATATAAAAGAGTGCACAGGGGGAGGGGTATTAACACTGTACAGGGGAAATACACAATCGTCTTCTGCTGAAGACTCTGGATCCAGACTCTCGGTGCTGAGTCCTCGGTGCTTTCGTGGTCTCTTGACGAATCCTTCGACCAAGCTGAGTCTACCCCAAACACAGGCCAGCCAAAACACAGTTCCACTGGGGGCACCGCCGTGGAGGCCGTCAACCACAAGTCCAGCAGGCCTGCTGGCAGGTTCCGGATCAGCAAGGCTGGTCAGGCCACTCCACGAGCGATACTAGGGTAGCGCCCTAGTCAGGAGCCTCGTGCGATACCACAAATCACTCTCCTGTCCTCAGTACCCCAGTGGATAATCTTCTCCAGCAGTCGGTCCCGGGTATGACGATCCTTCTACTGCCACTCCACTGACAGGGTAACACCACAGTGTTCTTCCGGGGGACGACTTCACAGCTGCTGCAGCAAAGCACAAGGTATGGAGACGGCTGCCTTGGGTAGACTGACTCAACTTCCATCACAGCAGTCCCAGGTCGACTCTGCAAGCAGACACGTCATCAATAACTGGGACACACTAAGGCACCTCACTTACAGGCTCAGACACAAACGCCCACCTATCCACTCCATAGATGGCGCTGGTGTCTGAGCACCACCTCACCAGAGGTCAGCAGCGGCTGTGTTGAGCGCTGAACAGGACTAGAAACTGGCCCTCGAGGCCAATACATCCCGTCCTCGCCAGGTGTCGTCGTCCATTTGGTGGGGGTCTCGGGAGCTGACCCACAGATGGCGCGGTCGTCACTGCTCCGTGCTCGGACGCTGGATCCGGGTTCGTAACAGCAGGAACCATGCACAGTGGGTCACCAGCAGACTACTGGGAAGCTGTACACAGTGGGTTCACCAGCAGACTACTGGGGAGCCATACATAGTGGGTTCACCAGCAGACTACTGGGAAGCTGTACACAGTGGGGTCACCAGCAGACTACTGGGGAGCCATACACAGTGGGGTCACCAGCAGACTACTGGGAAGCTGTACACAGTGGGGTCACCAGCAGACTACTGGGGAGCCATACACAGTGGGGTCACCAGCAGACTACTGGAAAGCTGTACACAGTGGGGTCACCAGCAGACTACTGGGTAGCCATACACAGTGGGGTCACCAGCAGACTAGCAGGAACCATGCACAGTGGGTTCACCAGCAGACTACAGGGTAGTCATACACAGTGGGGTCACCAGCAGACTAGCAGGAACCATACACAGTGGGTTCACCAGCAGACTACAGGGTAGTCATACACAGTGGGGTCATCAGCAGACTAAAGGGGGACGCCGCACACAGTGGGTTCACCAGCAGACTACAGGGTAGTCATACACAGTGGGGTCACCAGCAGACTAAAGGGGGACGCCGCACACAGTGGGGTCACCAGCAGACTAAAGGGGGACGCCGCACACAGTGGGTTCACCAGCAGACTACAGGGTAGTCATACACATTGGGGTCACCAGCAGACTAAAGGGGGGCGCTGCACACAATGGGGTCACCAGCAGACTACTGGGAAGCTGTACACAGTGGGTTCACCAGCAGACTACTGGGGAGCCATACACAGTGGGTTCACCAGCAGACTACAGGAGGCGTCACGGAAGTAGTGGTAACCCTGAGCGTCCAGCAGGATACAGTTCTCGGTTGTACCACCGTCTGGCTCCACCACGTTATTTGTCACTGATCCCCAGAACGGCGACCCTGGAGAGATAGAAGTGTTTCAGCTAAGGTGACGTGCGATGACAAAGGAATATATACCCCAATAAGCAACCCTAAAATATATATAAAATTGCATTTATATATAGAAAATATATATTTTATTTCAATGCTCTCTTCCCTTCCCCTTTCCTTCCATTTTTCCTCCATAATCATCCCTTCCCTACTCCTTCTTTCCCCTCCCTTTCACTCTAAATCTTCCCTCCTTCACTCCCCTCGGACGTGTTGTCACACTCCATCACTATATTGCCCACTATTTCCACGAGGTCAGTCAGTGAGACTTTTGCCATCAATAACAATAATATGATAATTCTGTGAGTTTTGCGAGTGTGATTTTCTGTGTTTATCTGAAGTTGGAGCGTAAGGTGTAAAGCACTTTGTCATTCACTCAAGTGCTTGTGGGTGATATGTAAAACTTGGATTGGCTACAGTAGGGGACTCCAGGAATCCTGTGATTTCATTAGAAATACAGTTGTATAACTTTCATGAAGTCAGCGGTGGTGCAATGATAGAGTATGTGGCTGGCAATGCCTTAGTCGCGGGTTCACATCGTCTCACAGTCCTAGTGGATTTTCTCAGTGATAAGTAATGTAAATGATAAAGGAAATATCTCAATGATAAAGATCTTCTCAACGATAATGATTTTCTCAATGATAAACATCTTCGCAATGATAAAGATTTTTTCAATGATAAAGAAATCTTACCAGAAGCAGCAGGAAAGTGTTCTCTAGTGAAAGTTTACAAATATATTAGAAAAACACATTATTTGCTCTCGCGAGTCTTCCCTTTGAAAAACATTTGTAAGAATATTATTAAATTATGACGAAAGTGTGTAATTGCCAAGAGTGTGAGGAAAGAGGTGAAGGGACGAGACCCACCCATAGTGACGGGCTTTCCGTCCGTCCACGTCCACACGCCCTCCTTCGCCGCGTCGGAGCCACCCAGCCAGAAGGAGTGACCAGCGATCCCTGCAACACACAGGTAGTGATCAGTGATCCCTGCAACACACAGGTAGTGATCAGTGATCCCTGCAACACACAGGTGGTGATCAGTGATCCCTGCAACACACAGGTAGTGATCAGTGATCCCTGCAACACACAGGTAGTGATCAGTGATCCCTGCAACACACAGGTAGTGATCAGTGATCCCTGCAACACACAGGTAGTGATCAGTGATCCCTGCAACACGCAGGTAGTGATCAGTGATCCCTGCAACACACAGGTAGTGATCAGTAATCCCTGCAACACACAGGTAGTGATCAGTGATCCCTGCAACACACAGGTAGTGATCAGTGATCCCTGCAACACACAGGTAGTGGTTAACGATCCCTGCAACACACAGGTAGTGGTTAACGATCCCTGCAACACACAGGTAGTGATCAGTGATCCCTGCAACATACAGGTAGTGGTTAGTGATCCCTGCAACACACAGGTAGTGGTTAGTGATCCCTGCAACACACAGGTGGTGATCAGTGATCCCTGCAACACACAGGTAGTGATCAGTGATCCCTGCAACACACAGGTAGTGATCAGTGATCCCTGCAACACACAGGTAGTGATCAGTGATCCCTGCAACACACAGGTAGTGATCAGTGATCCCTGCAACACGCAGGTAGTGATCAGTGATCCCTGCAACACACAGGTAGTGATCAGTAATCCCTGCAACACACAGGTAGTGATCAGTGATCCCTGCAACACACAGGTAGTGATCAGTGATCCCTGCAACACACAGGTAGTGGTTAACGATCCCTGCAACACACAGGTAGTGGTTAACGATCCCTGCAACACACAGGTAGTGATCAGTGATCCCTGCAACATACAGGTAGTGGTTAGTGATCCCTGCAACACACAGGTAGTGGTTAGTGATCCCTGCAACACACAGGTAGTGATCAGTGATCCCTGCAACATACAGGTAGTGGTTAGTGATCCCTGCAACACACAGGTAGTGATCAGTGATCCCTGCAACACACAGGTAGTGATCAGTGATCCCTGCAACACACAGGTAGTGGTTAGTGATCTCTGCAACACACAGGTAATGGTTAGTGATCCCTGCAACACACAGGTAATGGTTAGTGATCCCTGCAACACACAGGTATTGGTTAGTTATCACTACCTGCAACATACAGGTAGTGATCAGTGGTCCATTTAACACAGACAGTGACCAGTGATCCCTGCAACGCACAGGTTGCAGGATATCCCTATAGTTTTATCTTCTTAGTGGGGATAGAGGAATATTTAGTGAGGCTCCTCTTAATGAAATGAAGGTAAAAGTTGATGTATATATCCCCAGTAGCCTTACCTTCCTGGTGGAGGTAGAAGTATATATATCCAGTAGTCTTACCTTCCAGGTGGAGGTAGAGGTATATATCCCCAGTAGCCTTACCTTCCTGGTGGAGGTAGAAGTATATATATCCAGTAGTCTTACCTTCCAGGTGGAGGTAGAGGTATATATCCCCAGTAGCCTTACCTTCCTGGTGGAGGTAGAAGTATATATATCCAGTAGTCTTACCTTTTAGGTGGAGGTAGAGGTATATATCCCCAGTAGCCTTACCGTCCTGGTGGAGGTAGAGGTACCCCTAACGCTCCCCAAGTGGAACATTAAGAAGCTTGATAAGAAAAAAATGGGCTGATATTGTCCATCTCCCAGATACAGACGATGTAGACCCTATCACGTAACTGTCCACAATCACCTCGGCCATAAATTCTGCAGCCATCCAAATGTTCAAGAAAACTTCAGGACATAGGTCCAACAACCCACTTAACAAGGTGGAATGCCGAATGTGCATGAGCAGTCGCGTTACGCCGACGAACCTTACAAAAACGAAGACGTCAAACCTCCCTACGAAACTGGGTCAATCTCCGGCGGGCCACAGCAGCAGCCAAAAAAAAACATACTGTCAACAAAGCGAGCATCATGGACAAACTTCTGTTATAGCTTCACACCCACCACGCTACATTCAAAAGCCTGGGCTACATTTGGGAATGTTGGGTGATCTTTAACAGCATTAAGGGTCGCCCAACATTCCCTTCGTTTCCCCTTATGATCAACGGTTCACTCAGTCAAACAACTCAGGAGCGTGCAAATGTTCTTGCTGAATATCTTAAAGTTACTCTCTTAACACCCTTCCTTCATGCCCAAGAACTATCCGTCAGACAAGAAACTAACCGTGCTATGCCGCTACCCATGCTCGGCGTCGACAACATGTACACCTTAAGCGAGCTATAATTAGCCTTAACCCGCCTACCTCCTGGCAAGGCACCTGGAGAGGATGGAATTCCATATGAAGTTATCAAATATCTTCCATCGACTGCACACAGCACCCTTCTAAACTATTACAACCTATACTGGACTCACGGAAATATTCCCTTACAATGACAGACCAGTATTATTCTTCCATTCCTTAAACCAGAAAAGATACATTCCAACCTGCGTCATACAGACCTATCTCCTTACTATCATGCCTCAGTAAAATCATGGAAAGGCTGGTACATACTCGCCTCCAATAGTACCTTGAGTATAATAATATTATACCGTCACTCCAAGCTGGATTTCGACCTCAATGCTCCACACTTGGTCAAATACTCTGCCTTGAACAAAAAATCCGCACATCTCTCAGAAGCAGTAAATTTTGTCTTGTTCTCTACCTAGACGTCAAAGACGCTTTTGATAGCATTTCTCATACTTGCCTCTTGGCAAAGTTTGCACGTTTAGGCGTACAGGGAAGATTACCTCTATGACTACAGTCCTATCTTACGAACAGGACCTCTAAAGTCTATGTACAAGGCGAGTTTTCCGATGGCATTCCAATACAAACGGTTGTCTCGCAAGGCTCCATGCTAAGCCCAACCCTTTTTGCTCCGTTCTTAGCAGATTTGCCTAACACCCATTCTGTTCACCTCTCGGCGTACGCCAAAGACATAACATTGTATTATTCAGACAATGCCCTACCTAATACAGTCTCAACAATGCAAACAGCACTTGACCACCTCATAGACAGAACACAATAATGAGGCCTTCAAGTTAGTACTACCAAAACCTGTTATCAGATTTTCACTAAAAAAAGACTTGTTCATCTACCCACTCTCACAATACACAACACTCCCATCTAACACGTACGAGGACATAAATACCTTGGCATGCACTTAGACTCACCCTTACTTATCTGGAAGCACACATTCAACACCTTAAACAGAAGACAAAACTGACTCGCCATTCTATCATTTAATGGAAGCCCTCACTGGCACCACCTGGGGAGCACACCATAAAAATCTTGCTCCGTTTCTATACAACCCACATATGCAGCCAACTAGACTATTGTTACCAAGCATGTGCGTCGTTTGCGCCAACTAACCTACAAAGCTAGAGGTCATTCAAAAAATGCCAAGCGACTTATATGTGGTGCAATGCGTTCCACTCCTATGCTCGGACTTTACGGGGAAAGGGCCTCACAAGACTAGCCACCAAACGACACATAATGTGTGCCAACTATCACTGCTCGCCAGACACACCCAAACAGATCAAAATTTAACCCAACAGTTAACCCCCATATCCCCCGCTTCCCAACCAATTACTCGCAACTTTTCCTCACATGGGCTACAAATAACCTCAATATAGACCTCTCTCTCTACTCAAAAATTCTGAAACCCAACATACTGTTCCCCATATTCCACCTTGGCTCTATACAACTCCAAATACATCAATACAACTCGAAGACAACATTCCAAAGTCTGCACCAAACTCAGCTATAGCCTCAGTCTTTGTCTCAAGAAAGTGACAAATAGTTGGCACTGTCTCAACAATGAAAAATTGCTACCCAAATACCACAGCGATTTATACAGATGGATCTGGCATCATCATGAACAACGTACCCTCGGTCACTAGCGCTGTATGGATACCGGAATACCATCTCAAGCAGGGATGGCAGTTACCAAACCAACTATCTATTTTTACAGCTGAATTATATGCCTTATATCAAGCTCTCCAAATAATCGTAACATTACCAGTTGGGATATATACAATCTGCAGTGACTCCAAGAGTGCGATTCAAGCAATTATGTACTCTTCAACAATGTGCAAGGAGTTTGTTTACCCATGCCTTCAACTTCTTCATGAACATTGAACGGTTATGACACCTCTATCCAATGGGTCCCAGCGCATTGTGGTATTCTCCACAATGAACTAACAGATCAACTAGCCAAAGCAATGCACAACACGCCTCACATTACCCGTCATACAATTTCCCATGTTGCACGTAAAGGAGCCTTCAAAAATACAATTCCCAAGATTTTGCGACGAAATGGAAAACGTCATGCTCACCTTTGTAATATGGGTCCATTAAAAAGAAATGGGAAACTTGGAAACATGTCAGATATAAAAGCAGAGAAATTGATATAGCGATGACCAGATTAAGGCTGGGACACACCAAACTGGCAGCACACAGCTCTAAGTACAGAACAATCATCAACGAACTCTGCATCCTATGTCAGCTTCCTGAAACAATCGAACACTATCTCCTTCACTGCTTCCGACATCATAGTGCCAGAGTAAATTTCAAACAAGTAATTATTGCACTTAAAATACCCTTTACCATCGAGCATATATTAGGAGGAGGTGACCACTCGTTACAGGAAAAATACCAAATAGTCAAAGCACTGGCTAAATATCTCCAGTCGACCAACAAATTGGGTCACATCTGACCCGTGCCACATTTATACCTGGCGCCACCAACAGCTAAACACAGAAAACAAATGTCTCGTCACAGCACCATGGATCAGCTGACACCATAAACGCAACATACCACCCTACGGTGCGGCAATTCTCCCTCTATCATGCACCTTTGTTTTAGTCCCCACTCCTATATCTACAGCACAACGCAGCAAGCACCTTTGAAACTCTTATCATCCTCAACATAAACGCCTCTCCCTACATCTGTACTAGTGCAGTCATCGATATGACAAACCCTTCATGCAAACTGCACCTACTATCAAGAAGAAGAGGTATATTCATCCCCAGTAGTCTTACCTTCCTGGTAGATGTAGAGGTATATATTCCCGGTAACCTTACCTTCCTGGTGGAGGTAGAGGTATATATCCCCAGTAGCATTACCTTCCTTGTGGAGGTAGAGATATATAGCTCTGAGCTGCTCGATGTCAGTGATGGCGGCCAGCTCCCCGGACAATCCGTGACAAGCCTGACGGGCGTCCGCCCACGTCTCCTCCGCCCACGTCATGAACGCCAGACACAGGCCGTTCACACTGACGAAGAAGGGCGGGCAGTTCAGCTCCTCGGGCGTCACTGGTGCTGATGTGAAGAAATAGTAGCCAACAATTGTCAGTTTATATTATATAACTCATCCGTGTTACTGCTCAATGTTTATTTTCTCAAACATGAAGTAATAGCCAGCCTGGCAACTAAAGTACATGAATTATACACAAAGAATTCACAATAACGTGATGCATTAATGCAAATATCTTTGGAGCAGAACGGTGGGATGGTCAGTGTCCTGGTGCATGGGTTACGATGTGTATCTGGACGACCCAGGATGATGGTTCCATCCCTACCTTCCTGATTCAAAGATTTTTAAATGTATTATATTTTAAAAATTGGTAGAGTACAAAAGTTCACTGGGTAAAGTACTGGAAAATTCAAAGGGTTTTACTTGTTTGAACAAGTTGTTTTTGTTCACACAGCGGAAACCATTGGGTGTTGCATTGTATATCGTCAAAGTTGAACAACAATTTCTTGTTCATCACTAAGCAGTGTTGAGAACGATTATAATTATCCGGCTGCTGGCCTGACAGCCTCGCCATCCAGAAGGGCGTTCCCATGGGAACTGCCAGACCGGAGGACGTCCGCCAGTCTCCCTCCGTTTCTTGGTCAGACCCGTCCAACCAGAAGTTTTTTGCGCCCAGACCTGTGGAGGTATACACAGTCAGACTTGTGGAGGTACACACACTCAAACCTACAGGAGTACACACATGAGAGTCTCCTCCAACTCAAGCCGGAACCCTTCTGACTCCCTGTGCAAAGCCTACCATATGCAAACGATGTCACAATAAATTGGCTGAAGATACGATTACCAGACCACACATAAGACGCAGAAACGATGACGTTTCCGTCTGTGCTGGACCACATACGACTTGATAATGATTCAGGACGGACCGAAACGTCTTCGTTTCCCCATCTTCTGATGTGTGGTTTGGTTATCAATGCCTTCCATACCACCCAAATCCTTCCTCACCCCGAGCACCCCCTGCTTCCCCATTTCTTTGCTTTACTTCTGCTCCAAGCAGTCCTCAGAAAGACCTAAGCCATCCATTCCCCACCCAATCCTCCGCCAAACCCCTAGCATGTACCCCTCACAGAAGGATAAACCTACCCAAATAGCCCTGTTCATGGAACAGCTTCCTACACCAGTGGGGAGAGTACGTGATAATGTTTATAGGAAAATGAACTTCAAGATAATGTACTCAAACATCGATAGATCATAAATATAGCAAGTGAACTGGACAAAAGGGCACAAGAAGAAAACCCAGATGTAATAGGACTCACAGAAGCGAAATTGTCAATCATAACAAATGCATTGTATCTGTAGGGCTACTATGTAATTAGGAAAGTGAAAGAAAGTAGGAGGAAGAGTGGCCCTGCTGATAAGGAAGGACTGGAGTTTCAAAGAGAATATTATCCCAGGCTGGGAATGATTCAAAGACCGTAAAACAAAAGCTATGACAATGGGAGGACATAAGTTAATAGCAGAAATGTATAACCTTCCATTAAATGATAGAAGCAACAACATAGTAGCCATTAATATAATAGAGAGAGCAGCTACAGTTGCCCACAAGAATGGATCCAGACTTTTAACCATGGGGGGACTTCAACCACGGAAATATAGACTGGGAGAATTGGGAACCACATGAAGGTGCTGATACACGGAGAGCTAAACTCTTGGAAGTGGCTACAAGAAATTTTCTGAGTCAACATGTCAAGTCAACAACAAGAATAAGAGGCAACGACAAACCAGCTAGACTAGACCTAATATTCACCTAAAATGAGTCAGACATAAGGAAAGTAAAATTAGAAGCCCCATGTGAATGAGTGACCACAACGTACTGACATTTGAGTATCTGGTGGAGGTAGGGATAGCCTATCCAAGGAAGGGATCAGAAAGGAAAACGCTGGCTTACCGAAGAGGAAATTATGATGAGATGAACTTCCTAATTGGAAAACCAAGGGAAACAGAACTCAGAGAAAAATACTGTACTAGATATAATAGACTACATCACCCAGAAGTGCCAGGAAGCTGTAGACAAGATTATTCCGACGCAAAAGGAGAAAAACGAAACGCAACAGCAGAATCCAAGAATACATCAAGCATGCAAGGCAGCAAAGCCCTTATGTACAAGAACAGGAATAACAGAGCACCAGAGAGCAGAGGGAGACACCAGACGGTCAGGAATGAGTACCTCGGTGTAAGGAGAGAGACAGTATGAAAATGACATCGCAAGTAAAGCCAAGGCCCAATCAGAATTGCTCCTCAGCCACATCAGGAGGAACACAGCACTGAAAGAACATGTGGAGGTAACTGTGGATGTAGACACAATCAGACCTTTGGAGGTACACACACTTAGACCTTTGGAGGTACACACTCAGACCTGTGGAGGTACACACACTCAGACCTGTGGAGGTACACACACTCAGACCCGTGGAGGTACACACACTCAGACCTGTGGAGGTACACACACTCATACCTGTGGAGGTACACACACTCAGACCTGTGGAGGTATACACACTCAGACCTATTGAGGTACACACACTCAGACCTGTGGAGGTACACACACTCAGACCTGTGGAGGTACACACACTCAGACCTTTGGAGGTACACACACTCAGCCCTTTAGAGGTACACACATTCAAACCTGTGGACGTACACATACTCAGATCTGTAGAGGTACACACACTCAGACCTGTGGAGGTACACATACTCAGATCTGTAGAGTTACACACACACACACACACACATCTACCAGAAATATGGAAGACGGCTAACGTAGTTCCAATATACAAAAATGGTGACAGACAAGAGGCACTGAACTACAGGCCAGTGTCTTTAAATTGACGGAGAGGATGGTGAGAAAAAAACCTAGTAACACGTGCAGGCGATGAGTAACAATAACGTGGCTAAAGTATGTTGACCAGACCTCACACTAGCATGTAAAGGAACGACGACGTTTCGGTCCGTTCTGGACCATTCTCTAGTTTATTGTGATGAGGAAGTAGAACCTCTGCAGTTCCTACTACTAGCCCCTCTACTACACCTTACTTTGCTCCTCATCTCTCGTGCCTATTTATTGCCTGTCTCTACTTCCTCATCACCCTCGAAAAAGCCTTTGAACTGGCTAACGCCCCAGCTATTCTTTGCTGCCTCATTGACAAAGAGGTCAGAGGCAACCTGCTCTCCTGGACCAAAAACTGTCTCATAAACTGTAATAAACTGTACCCATAGTAGGAAAACAGCATGTAAAGGATTTGGAAATAATAATGTCTGACGACCTAACGTTTAAGAAGCATAACCAAGCAAATATTGCGACAGCCAGAAAAATGATAGGATGGATTACGAGAACTTTCAAATCCAGGGATCCCATCACAATGGTTGTACTCTTCAAGTCACTTGTGTTGTCCCGTCTTGAGTATTGCTCAGTACTCACTTCCCCCTTCAGAGCAGGAGAGATTGCTGAAATAGAGGGAATACAGAGAACATATACGGCACGCATAGACGCAATAAAGCACCTAAATTATTGGGATCGTCTCAAAGCCTTCCAAATGTACTCACTAGAAAGAAGACGAGAGAGATATCAAATAATATACACCTGGAAGATACTGGAGGGCCAAGTACCAAATCTACACAGTAAAATAACAACGTACTGGAGTGAACGACATGGAAGAAAATGTAGAATAGAACCAGTGAAGAGCAGAGGTGCCATAGGCACAATCAGGGAACACTGTATAAACATCAGAGGTCCGCGGTTGTTCAACGTCCTCCCAGCAAGCATAAGAAATATTGCCGGAACAACCGTGGACATTTTCAAGAAGAAACTAGATTTATTCCTCCAAGGAGTGCCGGACCAACCAGGCTGTGGTGGGTATGTGGGCCTGCGGGCCGCTCCAAGCAACAGCCTGGTGGACCAAACTCTCACAAGTCGAGCCTGGCCTCGGGCCGGGCTTGGGGAGTAGAAGAACTCCCAGAACCCCATCAACCAGGTAAACAGAGAAGCAAGAGTAAAACTTCATGGCACAGTCTCTGAGTACAAAAGACATGAAAATGGTACACCGCAAGGAGGTATTCTCAGCCTCTTCTCTTCAACTGTTTAATGGAAAGAATAATGAGGTTGAAACTCCCACATCACTGCAGGCTGCTCAACTACGCGGACGACTTTGTCATCATCATAAAAGGAAGGGATGCGGCGCGCCTTGCACCCAAATGCTTAGACTGCATCAGTAAAGAGGCAAAACAGATTGGGATCAAACTCAACCCCTCAAAGTCAAAGGCCATGCCCATAAAAATAGCGAAGCCCAACATCCAACTCACAGTACAGGGTCAACCAATTGAATGGGTCGACACCTATCAGTATCTAGGAATCATCCTGGACACACACATGAATTTTAATGCTGAGGTCACTTACTTGAGAGAGCGAACTGCGGCCCGGACGGCAATTCTCAGGTCGCTAGCCTCCCTTTCTGGAGGAGCCAATCTGCAAGTCCTTCGCACATACTATGTACAGGCAGTTAGATCAGTGATCGATTATGCCGCACCTGCACTCACAAATCTATCACACCAACAGTGGAAAAAGCTTGAAGTTGCCCAAAACAATGCTATGAGAGCTGCACTGGGAGCCCCCATGTGGACCAGGCTTGAAACTCTTAGACTGGAGACGGGTTTGCCCTCTCTACAAGAAAGAATATCACAAAGGACAGCTACAATTGTCAGTAAGATAATTATTTCTTCTGATCCAATCCCAGTACGGCAGGCCTTGGTGGTTGGACTAGGCCAAAACAATGGAAACTCTTGGGTTGCAAGAGCAGGAAAAGTCCTAAACAGACTACATTTAAAATACATGATTCTTGATAGAGAGGGTGATCATCCACACCCAAATTACACTCCTTCCGCGCCGTGGGAAGAGCCTACTTTCAAAATAGTAATAGAAAGTCTCCCAATGAAAAAGGCTGCCTATGATCCGACAATCCTAAGGCGCATAATAGAAGAGCAAATGTTTAGCATAGCAGTAGCAGGAGCCACCCACATCTTCACAGACGGATCGGTGTACACAGAATATGAGAGTGCTGGCGCTGCTCTTTGCACGACCAGCGTACAGGCATATTGGAGACTGGGAGGACTAGTATCATCAACCCAAACTGAGCTGTTTGCCATACAACAGGCATTCGCATATGTGATTGCACAAAACACTCAAAATGCAATCATACACACAGACTCAAAAGCTGCACTTCAAATATTAGGACAAAAACAGTGGAAAGATAATGTGGAAATAATTACCACCATTTTGTATCTCGGAGCAGTCGCTAAAGGCAAAGGACTCAACATAACTTTAAACTGGATCCCATCCCATATTGGAATCCCATTAAATGAAAAAGCTGATGAAATTGCTAAATTGGCAACTCGTCATCCAGTGATACATAAAACAATTCAACCCAGCCTAGAGAACATAAAAAACATCATCACCAAAAAACTCTCACATCTCAACAAAGCCTACCTGCACCAGAGAATAGCTGAAGGTTCGCCATCTGCAACATGGTATCTTCAGGCAACCAAATTAGAAAGGTTAAATATCCCAAAAGGAATCCACAGGGAAATAGCAGTTAGGTTATATAGACTACGTCTAGGTTACAGATGCATCTGGG